AATAGTTTTAAGGAATAATTGTAAATTTTCTATGGGTTCAATAAAACAAACATTTATAAAAAAAAAAAAAAAAAAAAAAAAAAAAACGACCGCACAAGAAGACGATAGTCGATTAAAAGTAGTTTTGAATAAATTGGAAGAATGTGGCTTAACGTTCCATAAAGAGAAATGTAAAGTTGGCAAAAAGCAAGTTGAAATCGTCGAATATGTTGTTGGTAAAAACGGAATTAGTACATCTGATAAAAAGACTTTAGCGATTTCTAATATTTCTGTTCCTAGTAATCAATTGGAATTACGCGCTTTTTTTGGAATGGTTGACTATTATTCGGAATGTATTCGGAACTATTTGAGCATTGTCGAATTATTACACAAACCCTTGAGGAAGGACTATGACTGTTCCTGGAGTAGAGTACAACAAGTAGCGTTTGATGAAGTTAAGGCTTGCCTATACTCGCAACAAGTGTCCATGCATCATAACCCAGAAATGCCAGTTATGGTAGCTAGTCGACTCCAAAGGTGGGCTGTAGTTTTATTGGGGTATGACTTGAAAATTAAATATATTGAAGGAATTAATAAGAAAACAGTTGATTTTCTGTCCAAAAATTATAATAGTACAGTTGAGTCTGAGTTTGAGACGATTGATAACCGGGAAGTTCAGTTACTCGAATATTCATATCAGAACTATGTTTTAGATTACGTAATGATAATTAATTATGAGACATTAACTCAGGAGTCTCGTAAGGATAGAGCGCTACAGTTGGTTACGCAATTCGGTAAGAATGGCTGGCCTAGTAAAATTGATAATAAATTAATACCGTATAAAAATAGAGCTCGAGAATTATCAATTAAGGCTGACTGTATCATGTGGGGCCATCATGTTGTGCTACCCAAATCTTTACGAAAGCAGATGTTAAAGGAAGTGCTTAGTATACATGTTGGTATTGTTAAAATGAAAGCTATGGCTAGGTCGATTGTGTGGTGGCCAAACATTGACACTGATATTGACGAAGTTAGTAAGTTTAGTAAATTGTGTTTGGACAATACGTTTAAACAGCCTAGAGTTAAACTACATTTTTGGAGCTGGGCCGATGTACCTAACCATGGATTTCATTTAGATTTTCGGGAACCGGTTGAACCTCAAATGTATTTGGTAATAATAATTAGAATATTAATAAGTATTAGTAATAAGAGGATTGACTCTTTTGTGAACTGGGTTGATATCTGTGCTGTGAGAGATATTACAACTAAAACAACTGTGTTTGTTTTAAGAGATTATTTTGCGACTTGGGGTTTACCGTATAAAATTGTTTCTTATAATGGTCCTGCGTGTGGGTCGGTAGACTTCGCCGAGTTTATCAATAAGTATGGAATTGTTCACATTAAAACAGCACCATATCGCCTAGCGTCGAATGGAGCTGCTAAGAACACAGTTAGATCTTTTATAAATAAAATTAAAGATTACCGAACAGGCTCATGTTTAGTTGCAATTATTAATTCTCAGCTAAGCCCGGTTACGTATCTAGTAGATACAGGTGTGCATACTTGGAAAAGACATGCTGATCAAATGAGAGTTTGTAGTCAAAATTGTGTAGATTGTGAAACTGATCAGGAACGGGTGGGTTATGAAAGATGTAACTCGTAATTATATGGATGTAACAAGGCTGTATCAAAATAGAACACCGATTGATAAGAATGATAATTGTAAGGAAGCACGTGATGAACCTATTGAAGTGAACGACGCATCAACGCATGAATGTCGAGAGATAACGTTAGACCGTACAAGCGCTAGTAAGGTAAAAATAGAGACTCCAATTCGTAGATCTCAGCGAACAATTAGGGCACCTAATAGATTAAATTTATAATGTTAACCTGCGGATGTTTAAGATTAAAAAGGAAGGATTGTAATGTTTGATAGATGTCGCTCATAGTAAACTTAAGTATACTGTATCATAGTACGCTACTGAGCCAGTCGCTTGTGTGCAACCAGAGAGTACGCTTGCATTCTAAGTAGTTGTGAACCTCTGTACTCTTTTATTATCTCTTAACACATTAAACTATATTTTCATATAACCTGTATTGAAAATGCGAGTTTCAATGCCTGTTGAGCCAACTGAAACTAGACAATTTCAGACCAATGCGACTGTACCGGGCAGGAATCAATTATTACTTCCCGGCGGACAGAAAATGACGAATTCCTGCCCGCGAGATAAAGTTGCAGCTTTATTTTCAATCCTATCAATTGTTTGTTTATTTTATACCTCTATAATTGTCATTCTAACCGTTAACTGTGCTGACGTATTATAATTCTGTTATTAAGCATAAATAAGAATGACAAAATAAAACTATTCAATTTACGAATAATGTTTGATAAAAAATAAACTATTACTTTCTATTTTATTATAAATTTTATAATAAAATGGTATTTTCGCTATTCGTCTGAAACTATCTAGTTCTGGTTGGCTCCAGACATTAAAACTAGCATTTTTAATGCAACTTATATGAAAAATATAATGTGTGACGCGGGATGAAACACGATTTCAGACCGAGTGATGCCAGGCAACTTCACTCTGGTCTGAAATCGTTTTGTTTCATCCCTAGTCACACAATATACTATTATATATTTTTATACTAAATGAGTTGTTGCTTATTGACTTAGAATTATTCTAGTATTACCCACATACATTACACCCACATCAATTTTTCATATATTTTATATATATATATTTATATATATTATATATATGTATATATGAAAAATATATCAAAAATGCATGTGGGTACTCAAATGAAAGCTCTTGATGAGTGTAACATCGGGATGAGCTTATATCTTCAAAAATGTCAATAGTTTACCAGATACAAGGTCATTTCTTCATTATGTATCTAGACACAGAGCATTTCGAATGCAGCCTACATTCTTATTATAATAAATTGACTATTGGTGAGAATGATATAAAACCTTGAAAAGGCACAATTCCAAGCAAAAACTCATTTTATCGCATAAATACACTGGCCACAAAATTTTCCTTATTCTCTTAACAATATAGATTATTATTATTTCATTATTATTGTTGTTTTAACTATTATTGCCTACAACATGAAAATCATGTGGCTGCCCCAATTTTTTTTTCCGTGTATATATTGTAGGAACCATTTCGAACTCACTCCGCACGAACATTTTATCTTTATTTTATTTTCGCACGAAGATTTTATCTTTATTTTATTTTGAGAATGATTCCCATAATGGTATGGAATGATTCCTATAATATTTTAGGAATCCTTCCCATACTATTATGGGAATAGTTTCCATAATGATATAGGAACCATTACTATATCATTATGGGAATATTTCCCATAATATTATGGGAATGATTCCTATAATTGTTTAGGAATCATTCCTATAATTATAGAAACCATTCCTATACCATTATAGGAACCATTCCCATCATTATGGGAAATTTTCCCATAATTCTGGGAAAATTTCCTATAATTATGAGAACAGTTCCCATAATTCATGGGAACAGTTCCTATAATTACCTGGGAACTGTTCCCATAAAATTATGGGAATAGTTCCCATATTTTTCTTTCCATGCAGAATAAAAAAAAATGTTCATTTTTCACCTAGATATGGCCAAAATAAAAATAGGTTTTTTCCCACTTGTAAATAATTACCGTATTTCTTTGTAATTTGACGTATGAATCTTTTTCAACTAAATGAAAAATTATTTTAGTTTAAAAACTCTGAACTAGAATTTTTTTCAAATTAAAATTCATATTCACTCTGCACTGAAAGAAAACTTCTGATTTACTCTGAACGCTGATTTTTTTATTTCATTCAATATTCTAAGTGATGGGATTGAAAATTCACTCTCAATTTTTTACAGTGTATACTGAGAAATTTCACAACAGTAATAATTTAGAAGGATTAACGGATTCTGAAAAGGTTTTTACTACTCAAAGTAATTTTTTAGAGAATAGATCGGATAAAAGCTTAAAATTTACGTATCCACATTTTTTTTTTGTTTTTTTTAATTATTCTACTTTTGATGTATAAAACATCAATAAGAAAAAAACAATGATGAAAAAAGAATATATCACCTTGGAATTAATTAACGAAAGTTGGAACTATAGATTTAAGGATTTTTAAAATCCAAAAATCTTTATAAATTTTAATATTTTGAAAATCGAATTGGTGTTTATCATTAAACCGCCGAAGATTTGAACACTTTCAAAGGAAAAAAATATTTAAATAGATCAATTTACACAACAATTTGGATTTCTACGGAGGATCGTATGGTGCATTCATCTCTGCCACGAACAACTTGCTGCTCACATACCACTAACTATTCAATTTAATTAATCACTCGAGTTTCATTTTTTCTTTTTTTTTTCCTTTTTTCCCTAATTACAAAATATTATATAAATTTTGTAAATCTTTATATATTTTGCCGATTGGCATTTGTACAATTAAATAATAAATAAATAAATTTTCTGATTTTTTATAATTGAAAATAAGTGGAGGTCTCTTCCATAAAATTATAAAAAGCCTGCAGGGTAAAGCATTGTCCAGATTTTTCACACTCTTCTTCACTTAATCATATCAATAAGTATATTAAGAAGAATGCATCTGTATTTATGTTGTTTTTTTGTATAAACACTTGTGTCAAAATGTTATCATGCACATTATACATCATTGAACTCCAGAGGGCATTTGCTATCGACATATTGCTTCTTTACTAGACCATTGACTGTCAGTTGAAGTTAACATATAAGCTCGAATGCATAAGTTCTAATTGAAGTTGAAATAAAATAATTATAAATTATTTTTATACATTTTTTTCTCTTATGCATCTAGTTATTATTTTAAATTTATATAATTAATGAAGAACATTAAATAACATACTCAGTGAAAAATCGAAACAAGTGAATTAATCTATAATTTCACTAGAAACTTTGCAGTCTTACGTTTTAATCAATTTCTAAAAAAAAAAAATAGTTTACCCATGGCTTCTTCACGTATTTTAATTATTTTTACAATAATTTTATCATTTCAGAAGTATGAAGTTCATAGTTTGAAAATTCTTGGAATATTTCCATACCCGGGAAAAAGTCATTTTGTTATGATCGGTGCATTAATGAAAGAATTGGCCCAACGAGGCCATCAAGTTGACGTTGTTAGTCATTTTCCATTAACAAATCCTATAGAAAATTATACAGATTTAAGTATACGTGGTTCAAGATCTATATTAGTAAATAAAGTTACCTATGAAACAACAGTTGAATTTAATAGTTTAGCTCTCTATTCAGTAGTTGAATTATTAGGAACAGGAGTCTGTGATCTTTTATACCATGATGTATTTCAAAATCTTATAAAAAATCCTCAGTCATACGATGTTCTCATCATAGAGGTAATTTATTGGCACATACAGTATTTACACTGTAAAAAATTGTGAGTGAATTCGAAATGAATTTCACTCCCATTACTCAGGGTACCGGAGTGAAGACATAAAACACTCCGAGTACGGAGTAAGCCCGGAGCTTTTTTAGCGGAGTTTGAAAAAAAAATCTAATATTAAAAATTTTAATTTAAATATTTGAAAATAACTTTTCATCAGCATAGAAAATTTTTAAAAATCAAATTTTGAAGAAAATTCAAATTTAGAAAAAAATCAAAACTAAAAATCTACAAAATTAAAAAAAAAATTGGTTGTCTGTAAAGTCGGTTTACGGACGATAGTTTTACGTGATAACGTCATAAAGAAACATTGATGAAAAATTGCATACTTTTATGGATTGAATTGAATTATTATCACTGAATTATCATTATTTTGTATTTAAAAATTATTTTAACAAAAAAAAAGGACTTATTGATAAATTGTTAATCAAAAATTGATACAATAATTTGATAATTGATATGATTATTATTATTATTTATAATTAATATTAATTATTTTATTAATTTATTATTTTTTATTATTATTTTATTAATTTATCGTTTACAATTATTATTTATTTATTTATAATTGATATTCTTTATATTAACAATTATTAATATTATCAACAATAATAATCTGATATAATTGATATAATTTGTTTAAATATAATCACGAACAATTAGTTATAGAGCAATATTCTGACTGCTAGCTCTGACGTTACGCGAGAAGAGAGATATGTGGTCACAAGCCAACTCTTAGGCCTCTCTATCGTTACTATTCTTCATGTGTGTTGCTGGTATCCATCAATTTATAAGACGTTATCACGTCAAAAATTTTTTCGATTGGTAAAATAAAACTTATCTTTTAATCTTTAAAATTAAAAAAAAATTTTTTTCAATTCAATTTTTGACAGAAATGTAAAAATATTATATAAATTTTTATTTTAAACATCTCAATATACATTTTATAAGTTTGAAACGAGTAACAACTGTTTATTATTTAAAAATATATTTTTATTCAATGAAAAAATTCACTCCGCGGAGTGAATTCTATTAATAATATAAACTAAATTCGTCTCGGAATGAATTTTCCAGAGGGAGTAAATCCATTGAAAATCATCCACTCCGCATTCTTTCCACAAATTTTTTTACAGTGTATTTCATGCTTACGATGATTTAATATAATTTTCTATTTAATTAGATCAACTTTGCTGATTGTTATCTTGCGTTTGGAAAACATTTGAACACTCCGATAGTTGGAATACTAACAGGAAAATTGGACGAATGGTTATATGAGCCATTTGGCGTTCCGTACAACCCTTCTTTTACGCGTAACTCACACGCAAGTATAACCAGAGAAAGAACATTTTTTGAAAGATTAGAAAATTTCGTATTGTATTTATTTACCACGTCGAAAATAAAATATTACATGGATGCAGAGATAGAACATGTTAAAAAATATTTTGGGCGTCAGCTTAATTCTATAAGTGATTTATATAAAGATGTGTCCTTAGTTCTTATAAATTGGCATCACAGCCTGGATATTATGTCAGCACCACCGAGAATTGTTGAAGTTGCCGGTCTTCATGTACATGACAGTGGAGAAAAAATATCTCCAGATATCAAATCATGGCTTGATGAAAGTCATTATGGTTTTATATATTTTTCATTTGGTTCAATGGTCAAGTTAGAAAGCTTTCCAAAAAATATTCTTGAAGCCTTTTACAAAATGTTTGAAAGAGTTGCACCAGTTAGAGTGTTATTGAAGGTAGCTGACGTTGATGACATGCCAAGTGGACTTCCAGAAAATGTTAAACTTTCATCTTGGTTGCCCCAAATTGCAATCCTAAGTATTTTTATGAATATTATTATGATAACATATATAGTGATTATAATTTATAATTTGCTAATTATTTAAAAATAAAGTACACAATATTTCAATTCATAAAAATGATATTTCAAATGTTTTTTAATAATCACATATTGTTTTTAAGTTGATTAAAAATATAATTATTAAAATGACAATTTCAAAAATGTTAATTAAAAACATTTAGGTATAAGAGACAAAAAAAATTGAAATTAAAAAAAAATTTTCTATTTAAATTGTCTGTTTTTATACATGGAATACGAAGCAAAAAAAAATAGAGATCGCTAATCTTGTATAGACAAATTTTATTAACTATTTTAAGTCATAAAATTTTTTTCAAAATTAAAAATTCTGAAAAATTTGTTTTTAACCATCTTACTCATTTATTTAATAAATGTGCCGTGAAATAGAATATTTAAAAAAAATGTCTTTTTCGATAATTGTATTGCGAAAAATAAGGTGAACTTCACACCGAAACAATTATCCCACTAATGTTTATATTTTTTTTTTCAGAACATAAAAATATCAAGGTATTTGTTACTCATGGAGGCATGATGGGGACTCAGGAAGCGATTACTTATGGTGTACCTATGGTTGGAATTCCTATTTTTCGGGATCAATTCATAAATCTACATGCTTATGAACAACGGAAAATTGCTATTGTCGTGAAGCTTGATAATTTAACTGCTGATTCACTTACTGATGCGGTAAATAAAATACTCAGAGATCCAACATACAAGTACGTTAAATTTGATATATTTTAAATAACTGAATGAAGATTTTTGTTAAAATAAAAATTAATTTCTTATGTTTTCAGTGAAAATGTTAAAAAAATGTCATCGCTTTTCCTTGATCGACCCAGTAGTCCAATGGATACAGCCATTTATTGGGTTGAGTACACTGCGAGACATGGAAACGTTTTACAATCCCCGGGATTAGAATTATCGTGGTGGCAACTTTATTTTGTTGATATTAATTTATTTTTTACCATTTGTATTATATTCATCATTTACATTATTCGATTATTTTTCAAATTATTGTCAAAAATTATAAACATAAGAAAACTCAATAATCAAAATTCACACATCAACTCTAAGACAAAGAAAAATAAATAATTCAAAGGAAAAACACGGTAATTAAGCAATATTAGGAAGTAGATTAATGATTAATTCACAATTTTTTTTTATTAATAAGTTTATGTGTATCAAAATAAATATTTCTGTAAGAGTTGTTTAAATATTAAAAAAAAACTAGTTCTTTTTTATGAGACCAGTTGTTATCAATATAGTATAAATTCGATTTTCGATGAAAGTGAAATATTTAGATGTCAAAAAAATGAAATTTGATTTATTATTACGAACACTAAAAATCATTTTTTTTTTATTTTTCCACAGTAATTTTATTGATGTTAAAAAAAATAAACTATGATATTGATATTCTATTATTTTTGATGATATACTTTGATTAGTCAGAATTCAATAAAATTATTCAGCTTTTACAATAACAAATATTGTATTTTGCACAAATTTTATTACATCTATATAAATTATTCAACGCGATAAATTTCGCTGTGACGTTGCGGCCTTATTGCACGCCTCATAAGCGAAGCGTTGAGGTTGTGCTCTACTCTCGACATTTCAAAAAAAGCAGTTTTCTCGAAACTAAAATTGATTTTTTGTTATTTATATCGCACTTATAGGTTAATATGAGTACACTTATATCAAGTCGAATAATTTGTCAGGCACATAAAATATATTTCAATAACAATTTTTTTGTTTAACATAGTAAATAATAACATTTAACATAATTTTTTCTGGACGTCCGTGTATGGATGAGTGTATGTGGCAGGGAAATTGGTCGAAAAAATGATCGTACCGGAACAATTTTTTTTTTATTATCTAAAGTAACACACGAAGGATTTTCCTAATTAATATGAGCGTTCAATTCACTGTCGTTAAATTATTATCTATAAAAAACTAATAATTAATATGAGCGTTTAATTCACTGTCGTTAAATTATTATTTATAGAAAACTAATATATGACTGTGGATTTTTTTGTATATCTATCTATACATTTTATTATAGTATTTTTTTTCCTCACCTTAGAGTTATGGCGCCACTAAACCATAGCAGAGTTTTCTGTTTTTTATTATTTTGCTTTTTATATTTTATTTTAATCAATTTTATTGTGAAAAATGAGATTATGAGGCGTGCACTTTTGGATTTTCCAAACTTTTTTATACTTTTTTATGATTACATAGTTACAAAACTAATTTTCTTTCCAAGAAAAAATAAAAAAGTTTCGAAATAAAAAATGACCCTCAAGATATCATACTATAATAGGAATGAATTATTTTGGAAAAAAATTATGTTACCAGAAAATCAACTTGTTGCGTTTCAGTTTAGATTTAGTTACCAGATTTGAATTTTTTATTTATCGCAAATACTAAAATATTGATATTTGCAATATTCTGGTTTCGTTTCAAAATTTTGATGCATACACTGAAAAATACAGATATTCATTTTTAAGTAACTTACAAATAAGTTTTATTTCAAAACGTAAATTTAATGTAAGTTCGATGTAAATGTATCTTCAGAAATTTCATTTTTCTAATAACGTCCGAAGTAAAATTTTGAATCCAATAGAATAAAATTTCAAAATAAAAATAAATTCGACTAACTATTATATAGTTATAAACTATTATACATATATTCCGGAAGTTTTATACTATACAATTTGAAAATTTTCCCAAAAAGTAATGAGAAAAAAAATAATTTCTGGAAATACTTTTAAGACGATTTACTCTTAGCTAAATTCGTAATATCCCAATCCGATTTGTCATCATCATTAGAAACAGATTTATTTTTTTCGTTTTCAACTGAAACATCATTGTTATTATTTTCGAATTCGAAATATTCCAGGAAAGTTTCCGTTATTACTATAGTAATATTATTATAATATAAAAATTCTAAAATATATATGTAATATATTAATAACTATTCATGATGCAGAAATGAATATAAAAATTCCACACGACTCAGTGTATAGTTTTTGTCGTGTCTCCAAAAAGAGCTATTATCTTTACAATTGAATATAAGGGTGGGGGAGGGGGCGCAAAATAGGGTACCCCCAAAATTTTGTTAAAAAATTTTTTTTTCTAGAAATGTCCTACAGTAATTTTTATCGTCATTGTGCATCATAATACAAATTTTTTTCACATCCAAGATTTATTTTTTTAGATTTTTAAGTTTTCGTTGTACAAATCAATGATTTTCCGAAAAAATCGGGAAGTCATTGGTTTCAATCCAGTTTTTGAAATTCAAGTTCTAATCAGATCTCCACATTTTAAGGTCCTATAAAGTAGTACTGAATATTCCTCTCTCTCTCTCTCTTACTCAAACAATATCCGTTAAAAATTGCTACAAAGTTAAAAATTTTTTTTTTTACTTTCTCAAGCAATACCCCATTTTGCCCCTATTAAAAGATTAAAAAATTTTTTTGGCGATAACTAGAAATTTTTGGTATTTACTTCGAAAACAACTTAGAAAAAAAAGATTCAGCTTATTTTAGTCCCCAATAACTTAAGATTTTCTTGATTCCCCCATTTTACTCCCCCCCCCCTATTTATTTTCAGCTTCTAAGTCATTAAACTTTTATCAACCATCATAAAAAAAACTTGAAAACCTGAATACTCCAATAATTTTGTCAAAAAAAAAAAAAAAAAAGTATAACTCCTTACTTTCTGGTCCGGTACTTCAATGTTTTATACTAAAAATTACGATGTTACCATCGTAATTTTTCATAGGATTTTCTCTCCGTGTATAACGAAAGCCATAAAGACGAAGGTAAATATAATTATCTTCATTTTGGTGATCATGTTACGTGTTTTCGTCGAAATCGACTGACAAAATACACTTAGTTTTCGACTGATATTAATTTTTTATACGTTAACACTAATTACTCTTCGAATCGTCGTGTATGATAAGAAAATTTATCTAAATAGAAAATCGTAACGCAGCTCAATATAAAAAACAAATTACACGAAAGAAATGACTCTCTAAAATTTACAAAAAAAATATATATAATTTTCACAAGTGAGATTATGAAAAAACTACATATTTTTTTTCGAAATTTAACAGACTGTTTTCTGTAAAATCTACATAATTATTATGGTATCGTTGCAGATAAACTTTTTGAATTAAAATTAAGCTAATTGTCAATAAAAAATGTAATTAATGATTCGTCAATAGTAAATTTCAAGTTTCTATTGTATGTGAATGAATAATTTTTTTACTGTGGTTATGAAAAAATAATTTGTCAAGAAGTACACTGTATAAAATTAGAAAAAAATTCAAAAAGATTATATGAATTAATTTACATCAATGGTGCTGACCCGAGTAGCGCTTTTAAATTCATCATATTTATTACAGAAAAAGTTCTGTTATAATTACATACTCAATATGTAATGTTTACAAATTTAGAATCACAGAATTCACTATGTAAAAAAAAAAACATTGATTTCTCTAAATTCTACATAAGTCGATTTACAAGATTTACAGATAAAATTCTGAATTTGAGAAGCTTTTCTGTAAATTTTACAAAGTAGTTTTTTCCGTGTATAATCGATATTTAGTAATCAAAATCGGGAGAAACTAGAGCAACATTAAATAATATTGAAAAAATTTTTTTTTCAATAAACTAAAAGTTGATCCTATAAAATCTTATATCAACAATTGCTGAAAAAAAATATACCGCTAATGTAACTATTGAATACGAGTATAAACAAAAGTAATTTAGTAATTTATTTTAGTCATAAAATAATTTTCTTTTGTACATTAAGCAGGAGCGTAGAAGCCAAATATTTTGAAGTAAAAGAACAAAATAAGTCAATTCAATTCGAAGTTTTCCATAATTTCATGCAATAAATATTATAAAATTTATCATTAGAGACATTTAAATGAATATTAGGTTGAAAATTAAGTTAGCCGACAAAAAATTAAAAAAAAATTTTTTTTATTAAAAAAATGATTACAAAAACATAAAAAAAAAATTTAATTTGTTAAAATCTTCAAAAACTGTAAGTGCAATTATTTAAAAATTTTTATTAGTTCTAATTTAATTATTAAAAAAAAAATCAAAAAAAATTAAAATTGTCGGCTAACTTCATAGTATCATATATTAGGGAGGAATTATTCATAAATAATAATAAATTTTATAGAAAAAAAGTTTTATATTTTCAATTGTAAATTACAAATATCTCACTAAATAATTATTGAATAATGAAGGTAAAACATTTCAACATTAATTATCGTTCCACTGTTTTTAAAATTACCGCACTTAAATGCAGTCGACAGATTCGTGTTCGGTACAGTAGTTTAGTAGTTTATGGGTCATTCGAAATGTCAGACCAATGCGCAAGAGCGCATGTATAGTTTTATTTTCAGATCTCGCGTGGTCTAACGTTCTGGAGTTTTGCATCATGTGTTTGAGTTAAAAACTACATAACCTAAAAACTGAGATGATCGATGATATAAATTAAAACATTTGATTGAATTTTATGTAAAAAATACTACGAATGTATTTTAAAAAAATTTTTAATTTGTTAAAAACAAATAACTTACCAACAAAATATATTAATAATTGTAAACATACTAAAAATAATTTTATTTACTTTAAACAAGCATTTAAACGTCCCGAATCTGCCCCAATGAGTGAAAAAGAATTGAACAAATCCCTCCAAAAAATCAAGCAATTACAAGGAGCGAAAAAAAAAGTGAAATATAGTCCAAGTACAGTGACTCTACAGGTAAATACAAAATTATTTATATTTTATCAATTTGTTAAAATTTATTTAAAAAAAATTTTTTTTCAGGTATTGGGTAGTGATGCACGAGGAGCAACGAGGTGTCTGTATGTTTCATCAGATCACTCTAAATATATATTCAACTGTGGAGAAGGTACTCAACGATTAGCGCATGAAAATCACTTGAGGTTAACAAAATTGGATCATATTTTTTTTACAACACCAACATGGCAAAATATCGGTGGATTGCCGGGGTTATCTCTCACAATTCAAGATAGTGGAGTGTCTGAATTAACTCTCCATGGACCTAAAGGTATCTCAGAAATTTACGACGCTGTAAAAAGATTTGTTTACCTTACAGAATTAAATGTCACCGAAGCTAGTTGTGAAGAAAAAGACGTTTTTCAAGATTTGTGTATGAGCGTTCGATATGTTCATTTAAAAAAATCAACACCCAATAATGATCCCGAGAGTAATGATAAATTAGATATTGACTATAGTACTGATGACAACGATGACGTTGATTATTATGCACATGAACACAACAAAAATGGTAAACGAAATTATAAAATTCAAAATGGAAAACAACCAAATTCCAAAATTATAAAACATGAAAAAAAGAGAGTTACACGAGTGACTGGTTGTGTTGCTTATATTTGTAAATTAACAGATTTAGTTGGAAGCTTAAATGTTGAAAAATGTGTTGATTTTGGCGTTCCACCTGGCCCTCTTCTAGGTCAATTAAAATCTGGTAAAGATATAACATTAGAAAATGGAAATATTGTCAAAAGTTTAGATGTAGTTGATCCACCGTCATCGGGTCCTGTTTTTATAGTGCTAGAATGTCCTGATGAAGATTATTTACAATCACTGGTTAATAATGAAGCTTTTAAAAATTACCAAAAAAATAATGATATCCAGAATGAGGATGATAAAAATGATTTACCTCGGTGTATTGTGCATTTTACACCTGAAAATATTTTAAGGAATCCTAAGTACATTGATTGGATGTGTAAATTTCCATCAGAAACTGAACATATTATTATTAATGACAATAACCAATGTTTAAATTATATAGCTCTCCATCGAATCCAGCATAAATTAAATTTATTACATCCAGAAATATTTCCTATAATACAAGATGAAGAGCAGAGAGTAGATACACCGTACGAAGAAATTGACGTAAGTAATGATGATAGATAACTTTTATTATTTTATTTAATGTGTTTTATAATTTATTATTTTTATTTATAGGAGAGGCTTAAAGATTTAAAAATTCATCGTGGGAAAACTCTCAATACTTTTGAATTGCGGCCATTGAAGGGTTTCAAAAACTCAGTTATCCAAATAAATAGAGAAGCTGATATAAAAGAAGCGATGGATGTTGATGGATTTCTCGATGTATTGGCTGAACTTCAAACAGAAATAAATGCACGTAGTAAATTCATTGAAAGCATGGATAAATTTCCAAAAATTGTGATGCTTGGTACTGGCTCGTGTGTTCCGAATAAAGTAAGAAATACCAGTGGAATTTTAGTGCGGATCGATGAGGAAACAAGTATTTTATTGGACTGTGGCGAAGGAACTAAAGGCCAGTTGGTGAGATTTTTTGGAGATGAGTCGGACAATATTATTAAAAGTATAAAAGCTATTTATATATCACATTTACATGCGGACCATCATCTTGGATTCCTTGGAGTTCTTCAAGCACGGAAACGTTTAACTGACGAAAAATTATTTCTCCTCGCGCCGAAACAAATTGAATCGTGGATACGACTATATCACAAGAAATTTGAACCTTTTGAAGACTATATTAATTTTGTACCTAATCAAGGTCTTCTATTGACTTTAGAGTCGCTTCCAACGGACACTAAAGATGAGTTACTTCAACAACTTAAATTGAAAAAGATTAATACTATTGGAGTATTACATTGTTTGCATGCTTTTGGAATTTCTTTGACGCTTAAAAATGAAAGAAAAATTGTTTATAGGTAAGTAAATTATTTATAAATATATTATTATATAAGAAAGATCGAAACGGATGATTCAAGATTAGGGTGATATTAAATATCACCGAAAATCTTGTTTTATCCGGCTAGATATTTTTTTATAATTTAAAATTATCTATAGTGCATAAAAATCAACTAAAAAAATTTTATGTATTTTTAGTGGTGACACTAAACCTTGTCCTGGTTTGGTAACTCTAGGTGAGAATTGTGATTTATTAATTCATGAAGCGACAATGGAAGACGGTTTGGAGCACGAAGCTCGTAAAAAAATGCATTCAACAATATCACAAGCTATAAGCATTGGTGAACAAATGAAGGCTAAATTTATACTTTTAACACATTTTAGTCAACGGTATTCTAAAATGCCACGGATACCAGAAGATGATGAAAAATTTAATTCTAACAATATTGGAATTGCTTTTGATAACATGCAATTTAATCTTGCCGAACTTACATTATTACCCTTATTTTATCCAGCATTAAAATTAATATTTAGTGAATATTGTTATCAACTTGAAACTAAAGCACAAAGAAGATTACTTAAACAACAACAACAAAATGAAAAGTTGAATCTTAATATTCAGCATCAAAAAAATTAAAAAAAATTATTTTAAAATAATTTTTGTTTTTTGTTTGTATACATGTATACAATTTTCATTTATAAGAATTTATTAATTTTTTTTTTATATAAATTGTAAAATAATGTCAAAATCTAAATAAGCATAAAAATGTGCAGTAGCTTTGAAAATAAATAGAGTTTATAATAAAATTATTTTCTACCATTAAATAGTAAAGGTGTGCCAATCATGCAAATAGCGACTATGATTACGTGACTTGAAAACCTTACAACTCTATAATAAGTACTAATCTTCTCATTAGTTGTCAATCTATCGCCCTTGAACGTGTTAAAATAAGTAATACATAATTCAACATTTTAAGGGCAATAAAGATTACATATTAAATAATTACGCGATCATAACCGCTGATCGTATAATTGCCATGGCTCCTTAACTTAAAAAATAAACATCAAGTAAAATATGTACCATACTGTATTTATAATAAATATAAAAGTGAATATTTATAACTCTTACGTATAAGTGAGTTTTTTTGTGCCGATTATTTTTTTTAATACATAAAACAAATAAACATTATCATTCATATAATTAATAATTATAAGTTATCAAGTATATTGATGTATAAAATATTTTATATTGGCGTTAAGAGATAGCAATAGCAGTAGTACAAGTCGTTACAGAATTTTTTAATATATTTACACAAAAAGTAAATGTTTCTCATTAAAGTATAAAAAACAATATTTAAACAATGAATTTTTACTTAAAATTAAATAAATATTTTAATTAGTGTTTTATTGTTTAATTGTCTACAAAAATTCTCTTTTTATAAAAAAAAAAAAAGTCCAAAAAATTTAGCGTTACATATAATATTGATAGAAAAAATTATTTTGTCAGTCCAATTTTCTTTTTTCTTATTATTGTATAAAAAACATCATTCAGTATAAAAGTAGACAAATTGTTATAAAAAGAGAATGATCAATACGCCGAAATTGGAATGAATTCAGTGTTATTAAATGTCTTATTGACATAATTTCACCATTATGTTTGATAAATATATTAAATATAAAAATTATTAAAGCGCCTATGGAGATAATTATACTCACAATAACATTGTTATTATTTAATTATAAATGAATATTAAAAACTCCATAAGCACAAGCCGCAATTGTATTTTGTTCTTATTATTTTTAAATTTGATAGGAGATTATTGATTAATTATTCGTTTTTTTTTTTTTTTTTTTTTTTTTTTTTTTTTTTTTTTTTTTTTTCCATCTAATCGCTAATCAATAATTATGTGTTATAAATATTTTAAAACTCCCATTTTGTAGCGGACTTGTGATCAGTTTCACCTAGACGTAATGCTCCATTTTTACCCGCAGCTAAGTATCTACCATCTGTGCATTTAATACAAAGACGAGACGGTTCACGTAATTCCAAATGAAATCCTTCGGACGGTTGATCAGCATCTACAGTAACACCTTCACTATCTGCATGCCAATATTTACCATTTTGTCCTAATACACATAAATAAATAATTAATGTTGCATTATTTATTTAATTACAGCTTAAATTAATAATTAAAACATTCAAATTACCTTTGAATCGAACAATACCACGCTCACAGCGTTCAACGCGAATAGTTTCATATCCAGCTTTATTACATTCTAGTTTAGGACTGGCAGCACTTTTTGGCCCCACAAAACCTTGTTCGCATCGTAATACAAGAATTGGTCTGTTCATCAGATAAAAGTAATATTTCGAAGCATCAGAATCACTTCCGTCTGGTGAATCAGAGTTTGCATAAAGATGTCCTGATCGTTTAGTGGCGAGGAATTTTCCATTGTTTGCACGTAATGCAACAGTACCATCGTCTTGCCAGACCAAATCAAATAATGCATTTGATGAACGTTTGTGATCAGATGCTTGAATACCGCCACCAGCTTCCAGAGTCCAATAACGGTCTTGCATTGTTCTTACGTACCACCGTTTTGTCACACGATCAAACTCTAATTGGAAAGTTTCATGTCCTGATATTTCATCTTGATTTGCCGTAACGTCTACACCTATTTATTAATAATAAATTATCAGTAATACTATAAATATATGAGATAATAAATATTGACGAGACGATGATGGATGAATATAAATAAATTTCTGAGAGCAGAGGTGAATGATAATTAATATGTTATAGGTGTAGCATTGAATAAAGCACATGATTCTCATGAATGTCTAATGTTAAAAATAACGTGAGTAGGAGGAGAAACAATCAATGTTTCCGGTGTAGAATATAGATAAATAATAAAAAAAAAAAAAGTTTACATTCTATGTAACTTGACAGCTATACCTTGTTTAACAGATACGTAACGCTGATTCAATGCAGCAACAAAAGAAGCTTGAGGCAAAGATTCTTCAAGAGAAAATAATTCATCACGTGTTACGGTGGTTGAACGTGATTTCAAAACAGCTTTACTACCAATTGGTGCCAAATACGCTCCATTAATGTCTCTGTAATTAGTTATTGTTTTGTTATTATTAATTTGATTAATATTTAGCTGAAAAAAATATTAAACAATAAAATACCTCAGAGCAAGTAAACCAGCATGAAATTCAGCCGCATAAAGACAGTCACGCGTACAAGTATCTAGTAACTTTCCATCACGTGCAAGATATTTATTGTTGCAAGTGTGAAGTGCATAGTGACCACCTTCAGATTTACCACGGCCAACTACATCGTTATCAGGATTTGCAGCTGGCCGGAATTCTAAAGTGAAAAGAGTATCTTCACCCCAGGGTACCGGAGCGTCTACATGGATTTCATCTTGCGACGCACTCAAGTGAGCGAAACGTTTACGACCAGCAGATCGAAGATTCACCTGGTAACAATAGTACAATTAAAATAAAATATAACATTTTTTTTTTAATTAATTAAATTTTATCCAATAAATTTATCAACTACCTGAGGTCTTGCAGCAAGATGAACAAGCCAGTACTCAGCTTCACCGGGAGCTTTTGCTTGGCATTTAAGCTCATCTAAACTTGAGCCTAAAAAGTATCCACGTTGTATATTTTTCAAGGCCCATCTACCACTTCCTGTAATTGATAATAATTAATAACTTAATAACTTAACTTTTATCTGATAATAGTAATAAATTAACTCCAATTCCATTTAAGTCATGACAAATAAAATAGATACACAAGAATTAAAAAGCACTTTATTACGGGATCAAAGACTTAATTAGCTTTAATAACAACAGACTTGAAAGTTTCAAGATCATTAGTTTTTAAGTATCATATATCAAGTTTAATAATTACAGTTAAGTTTTACTGTACTCACAATTTAATCTTATCAAAATAATTATTTTACGGGCTTTAAATTACCATCTGAAGCCAGTTGAATTTGAAAAGCGCATCCAGGATCAGATGTATCCTCAGCCTCACAAGTGACATTACCAAATTGATCAACAGCAAGATAACGGTCTAAGTGAGAACGAAGGAAAACCTGATGTTCACTTCCTTCAAGTGTCCATAACTGCTTCTTCTTAAGACTTGAACCATTTGCGTTTATTTTAAAACCAAATGTCTCGGCAGTTAAATATTTAAATTTCCCATTTATAAGACCAACCTGAAATAAATATTTATTTTACCACATTTTTTTATAAATCTATTAAAATTTAATTAGTTTAAACACTATCATTAAGTTCTAACACTAATTAATTAATAGAATTTAAAATAAACAATTAACCAAGCTATAAAAATTTATAATGATAATAAATAAATAACTTACAGTCCAGCCGGTTCTGTCTACTCCATTCTCACTTCCGCTTTCCGCGCCGTTGCTCTGCATTGTCTTGATCTGTTACTGTTGTATCTCACAATGAAAAATAAGCTTCTCTCTTTACTTTATATTACCAACACCAATACTTTCCTCCGCACCTACTCTGGTCCTTCCTGTACTTCTTTTTCTTCTTATTCCTCTTCTTTTTCTTATAATCTCGACGCTCGTCTCAAATACTTTCGGTACTCCCTTTTAACTTCTTCTCTTTCTAGATCTAGTTGGTCCTCAAAATCTAAAACAAATAATCAATTCACAATTTATTTTTTTGTTAGACTCTTGAAAGCTAATCATCATAATATAATCATTTTTGTAGAACGATTCAGTTATAAATGTCTATTTTAAAAATAGAACATTTTATCATTGAAATTATCAAGGAGTGATAATCCTAAAAAAACATTTCATTCCTTAGAAGGTAACGATACTTTAGAATCAAACATAAAACATATAAGCTTATAAGACACGTTTTCCTAACTAGTTGTTTAAGCGTTAAAGGTAAAAGTTACTCAGCTCAATAATAAATTAATCTTCCAACACATTAAAATTATTCAACTTTTCTTCTTTTCATTTTTTTATCTGTCTATCAAAGCATTACTTCTTTACAGTTTAAAAATTTATCTACACAAAATAATCTCATATTCTTCTTTTACAATCAATCGGATGAAATCTCCGTATTTAGTATTTAACAAAAATACGCCTGAAAGCATGTGTCATTACGACGTTTTTTTGCTACTTGACATTCCCTTTTATATTATTCGGACGTGTGCTGCTACTTGGCACATTCTAAAAATGTTTAATCCTTTTTTTGTTTTCAAATGGTATGTAGTTGAATAAACCAATCAACAGTGAAAAAGGGAAGAAAACACCAGGCACAGTGCTCTCCAACACATCTCGTGTGATGTAGCGTCTAGACTATTCGCGTGCGTATTGGCTGCGTCAGGTATTGATTTCGGAATTTTCACTCCACTCACACTAAGCTTGACGCAAAAACGTCTTTTTAATCATTAATTTTCATTGTCTTATCAGTGTATTTTATAAACAAAATTTCATTCAATCATTTCTTCAGAAGAAATAATTAGAAAAATTTTTTTTTGATTAGATAAAAAATTTTTTGTACATAGAATAATATACTTTTAAGTGTTATAAATATGTATTAATATATTATACATAATTCGTTGAGGAAGTCGGTCGTGCAAGCCTCTCTCAAGGATACCGTGTATCCGTAACGGTCACGGGTACTTCGTTCGCCTTCATTCTATACACTTTTAAGATTTAACTTCGTTCTTTAGGTCTGTTTTGATTACACTGGAAATTATTTACTCAATTACATTTATATTTGATACCGTAATCGTAAAACATTTATGAATAATATTGTAGCAAATGTCCGACAATGATTTAAAAATTTTAAATAATTTCCTTATTACAAAAATAATACTTATAAAAAAATGGAATAAGAAATTTTTGAAAACTTTTCCTGTACAATTAAAAAATTTTTTTTTAATTATGATTGAAAGTTACTTAAAAATTTTCAAAAATTAGCTACAAATTTCACACTTATATAAATAATTAATTATTAACATTAAATAAAAAGCATACATCATTTGAAACTGCAACATTACTTAGAAATTTTAAACATTGTAATGAGCTCTCGGGCTCACACTCACACATTACAAACAATGAGAGTTGCCTCTTCATGATAACTCGCACGGAAGTCTTAAATATATTTTCATTTGCGTGTAATTCAGCAGCTAGTTAATAATTACATGGATTCCCCTCTGGGTCAGTAGGTTACACATAGTTTCTATAAATTTATATTTTTTTATCATTTTAGTTTTCTCCTTGATTTACGTCATAAATCATCATTATTGTCATATACATTATTTTGCCCTATTAACATAACGTATTGTTTTTTTTTTTTTTTTTTTTTTTTTTTTTTTTTTTTGAAGCGCAGATTATCATCTATTTTACTCTACTTAGAAACAACTTTAATTTTTTATTTATTTATATTTTACCCATAAAAAAAAGTAACGTGAGCATGATTAAACTAGAGTGACTTTGAAATGATATTTGACTCGGCGGAAGTGGGAAGGAACGGAAAAAGTATTCAAAAATAAAAGTCACAAGACCTAAGAATTGAAAAGAAAATAAAAAAAGTATTGTAAGTATCAATCAGACAGTTCTTTGACATTTAAAAGACAACAAAGAATAACCGAGAAATATTTGAATAACAAAGAAATAAAGGATGATATTACATATTACGTGTTATTAATTATTTTTACATGTAAATTTACGTTGACTAAAAATTTTAGTTATTTTAAAACCAAGTTAGCAATATCCTAGGCAACCCCCGGATAATATTGAGACCCCACCCAGGCACCAAGGGGTACAATCGTGGGCTGGTGTGTGAGTCAGCGCACGCATGCCAAGCGATATAATATTATATCCAAATACAAAGTAAGCCGGTAAAACTGATGTGAGCGGATTGTTGTGTGTTGTATCCACCACCCTCTTACTCTCTATCTCAGCACATTTAAAATCCTAAAGCATCACATCCCTCGTCGCTTGTTTTTCTTTTTATACGTGATATTTTAAAAATAGCGTCTTCCGCACTGAAGCGAATCCACAGATAAGAGAACTCTCAGTGATAGACAAAGAATTAAACACACAGTAAAACTGTGAATTTTTAATCGCTTCATTATTTTATTTTCTATTATTGACAAAATTATGATACTGAAATCAGACATCTGATCATTTTTTGATTTTATTTAAAAAATAAATTACTCTAAGAAAATATTTTTAACATTGTATTTATAGTTTTTAAAAACGTCAGCTATTTTCTTCACAACAATTTATTTATTTAAGAATAATCATGAAAATTATCAGATGTCAATTACCTTGAGTATTATAATAAATTTTGATTTTATAATCCTTTTCATCTACTTTTAATCTGTAGTTCTACTTTGCCGACTCGGTGACCCTAAAGATGAAGACGAACCTTTAAACACCCTCGCGTTAAAATCCTGTCAAAAATGTCCGCCATAAAAATTCATGTTATTACTTGATCATTTTACGGTATTGATAATTTATGTAAGTATTTATATTTTATATATATGTAACATTAATTATATACGAAAATAAAAATAAACATACCTTGAACAAAGAAAGTAATTAATGTCAATATAAAATTGATGTTATTGTTATTTTTCCACTTTGTATAAAATGAAAAATCACTCACAATACATTTATTATGTTTTAGATTTTTCAATCAACATGAAGACAATCAAACTTGTAAAAATTTGTTATTATTATGATTTATGATATTTATAAAAATACAAAAGCAGCGAAAACAAGTCTGAGTCTAATATAATATATATATTGAATACGACGAAGGTATACAACACCGGGCACTGACGAGCGGCGAGTGCGAACAAGGACTGGCACGGTCACAACCGGCGAGTGGGGCTATGGGCTATGGGGAATACTCACAAACTCACTAAGTAACGTAAAGGCTGCGCGGGGGCGAGAGAAAACAGAACAGAACAGGGTGCTTGAGGGGCGCGAGAGAATCAACTAAATAGGTAGAAGGGGAAACATGCACATCGAACCGCGGGAGGTTAACTCCCGTAGGCCGGTGAACTCATATATGTATAAATATACGTATATGTATACATGCTCCTATTCATATTTATGTATGAACTATGTATCACTGGAGTCTAGACCTAGACCTAAACCTTTATTCCATTCTGCTGTCGGTTACACTTAAAGTATAATAAGACGCGTGCTAAATCTTATAACCGCTAAATAATTGACTCTCAATTGGCTGGAGAAAAATTTTATCAACATCAATCATTGTTAATTATGACATTTATGACATTCTACGCAAATCATTTTATTAAAAGACCTTGGATCTTGGATTAATGGTAACTTTATATTATTTCTTTCTGAGTCATGGATTATGAATGTATAATTATATTAAGTTTGGTTTTTAATGTGAGAAATTGATTTTTAGGTACAGGGAGAAAAGCTATCAGAGAGAATAAACAAGCTGGAAAACAAATGACACACTTCAGTAGACATTTGGAAAGTTTTTGGGTTTTATTTAACCAGTAAATTATTTAAATATATATTTAACAAAATATCTAGTTATGGTTTCTTACAATTTCTACGAATACATTTTTATTATAAACTAGAAAATCAAGCGCGCTTCTGTCAAAATATTTATTATCGATAATTTAATTAATATTTTTACAAATTTTATTAATTAATATTTAATCGTTGCTAAAGTGGTCACCATAGCAACGAAAAGCGACGTCACATCAACTTTTTAATAAAAGATTTTGTCATAATTTTTTTTTTAACTCCGAAAAATGATCAAATTTCTGTTAATTTCTGTATTATAGAGTCTAGATTAGGGTGTGCCAAAATGTAACTTCCTTGATGGACCTCTTAAAATTGGAATTTTGAGTTCCGCTTTTAACAGGAGTCGTGTTTGGGGATTTCCTGACAAATTTTGGGCGTAAAGGATTTATTTGATTTTTATAGAATTTTTTATCAAGAGTTTCGTTCGGTCATTTTTGCTGGAATTTAAAAATTTCAAAATTTAGCCGAACAAAACTCCTATTACAAAATTCTATAAAAATCAAATAAATCCTTTACGCTCAAAATATGACAGGAAATGCCCAAACACAACTTCTGTTAAAAGCAGAACTCAAAATTCCAATTTTAAAAGGTCCATCAAGGAAGATACATTTTGGCACACCCTAGTCTAGATACTTCAGTACTGTCAAAAAATCAAAATTTTTTTTTTTTAAAAGAAAACAGAAGACATTCAAAAGAACGTTTCATCTCAATTGAATTTTAAGAGAGAAAAATTAATGAAACTGAAATTAGCAGATATCTGATATGTTTTTGGGTTTTATGAACAAATAAATTATTATTCGGAAAAAATTCAAAAATCAATTGCATCCATAAGTTTTTTTTATTTCTACATGTAGAATTCTTGAAAAAATATT